AACATTTCTCAAGTTGAAAGAATTAAAGAAAAAATTCAAGTCTCAACTTGCAATATTGAAGAACTCTATGGACAGAATACTGAATGATACAGGAAGCATCCAAAGAAGATGGAAGGAATACAGAGTAACTGCACCAAACAGAACTAGTCAATGCTCAACCATTTCAAGGTGTACCATATGATCAAGAACCAATGGTACTAAATACAGGAGACCAAGCTGCACTGAGGACATTAGGGAAAAACAAGGAATTGACATAATACAAATTAAAATGTTTCAACAAATCAGTGCAACACTGGAGGTACTCACTAGTTTATGCCAAGAAATTTGAACTACAGCTACCTGGCCAACTGACTGAAAGAGACCCATATTTGTGCCCATTCCAAAGAAAGGTGATCTGACAAAGCAAAATGATCTAACAATATAATTACTATTATATGCAAGTAAAATTTTGCTGACAATAATTAAAAACTGGTTGCAGTAGTAAATAGCCAGGAAACTACCAGAAGGTCAAGCCAGAGTCAGAAGATATGTGGAGTGAGGAATATCATTGCTGATGTCAGATGGATAGTCACTGAAAAGAGCAAATACCAGAGAGATATTTATTTGTGCTTTATGGACTAGGCAAAGACATTGGAGGAAGGGTGTTAGCCTGTGATATGTAGATGACACAACCTTGCTTGTGGAAAAGGAAGAGGATTCGATTATTTACTGATGAGGAGCAAAGATCACAGACTTTAGAACGGATCACACCTCAATGTAATCCTTTTGCTTTCTTCCTGTAAGATGTTCCTGATGTCATCCCACAACTCTTCTGGTCTTAGGTCATTAGTGTCTAATGCATCATATTTGTTCTTAAGCTGATCTCTAACTTCAGGTGAGATATGATCAAGGTCATATTTTGGCTCTTGTGGACTTGTTTTAATTTTCTTCAACTTCTGTCTGAGCCTGAATATGAGTGATTGAGGGTCTGTTCCACAGTCTGCCCCAGCCTTGTTTTGGCTGATGATATGGAGCTTTTCCACCAGCTCTTCCCACAGATGTAGTCAGTTTGATTTCTGTGTATTCCATCTAGTGAGATCCATGTGTATAGTCATCTTTTATTTGGTCTAAAATGGTATTTACAATGAATAAGTCATTGGTATTGCAATAATCTATCATGCGATAACACTGGCTCAGAGAAGTGAAATATTTTACCCAAAGTCACATACTTTGTAAATGGCACAACATGGATTTAAGTCCATGTAGACTATTCCAGAGCCTTAGGTTTTAAATTATGCACTTACACTATGCTTCCACTCAGAGGTTTAACCCCATCCATACTATCATCTCAGTCTAAACTTCTCATTATCTCACAGGTAGAGGTGTGTGTAATACGATCCTAGGTGATCAACTTGCCCTTAGACTTCTTTAATTCATCTTGTGTCTTGATACCAGACCAAGCAACTTGAAACACTGGGTTTACTAACTTGACACCTTAAAGGTGCTGGTGCTGAATATTAGGTCAGAACTGATCAGCAACACGAACCCTAGTATTTGGGAACCCATTTTAAGTGGCTGGTTCTATCACCTCATTGATCTATCTGGATCTTGTGGAGAATGAGTTCTATAGACTCCTTATCCTCATTGTTTCCTTGTGATTCCAAGCCACCTCCCAATACTCTCTCCCACATTCCTTGATTGATATGATCCATGATTACTGCAACCCTCTATGATCCACTTTCCTTTGGGGATCTCTTTACCCACAGTGTTTTTGTTAAGTGCCTTCAAGTCCATTCTGACTCATAGTGGCCCTGTATAGGGTTTCCAATGAGCAGCTGGTGAATTTGAACCACCAACCTTGCAGTTCAAACTGACCTTGTGGTCCGGTGCATTATCCCACAGTGCCATACCAGGACTCCATACTGGTGGTGGTGGTTATGTGCCGTGGAGTCAGTTCCAACTCATAGTGACCCTGTACAGTGTTTCTGAGGCTGTAAATCTTTATGGGAGCAGAAAGCCTCATCTTTCTCCTGTAGAACAACTGGTAGTTTCAAACTGCTGACCTTGCGGTTCGCAGCCTGATTCATAACCACTGCGCTACCAGAGCTCCTTAGGACTCCATACTAGGGCTTCATAAAAGATCTAATTTTTTTCAGGGAAGACTACTACCTAAAATTTTTTATCTTCTACAGTTCCTGAGACCTGAATGAAACTGATAAAATTTAAAGGACTGATAAAGCAAAGTTTCAAACTCATAGCTATATAGGGCCAGTCACATAATGTAAATGACTGAAATTACTTTTGTGGGAAAAGGTAACAGTATTACAAAATCCATAGGAAATGGCAAGTTTGGATTTGTGTGCAATCCAGTGGTAAGGACTGTGATGAAATAGAGGCATCCATTTATAGGGAGTGGTTTCTACTGAGCATAACTTTTGCTATGGGGAAACATGGGGTGGGTCCTGGTGTGGCACTGTGGGTTAATGCGCTGGACTTCAATGCTGCTTTGAACCACAAGGTTGAGGTCGGTGGTTCACCAGCTGCTCCTTGGAAACCCTATACACTGTGGGTCGGAACCGACTTGATAGCACTTAACAACAGCAACAATCTACAGATAAGGAGCCCTGGTGGCACAGTGGGTTAAGTATTGGGCTGCTAACTAAAGGTTGGGAGCTTGAACCCACCAGCAGCTCTGTGGAAGGAAGATGAGGCAATCTGCTTCCATAAAGATTTGCAGATTCAGAAACCCTCTGAGACAGTTCTACTCTGTCCTATGTTGTTGTTAAGTGCCCTCAAGTTGATTCTCACTCACAGCAACCCTGTATAGGGTTTCCCAGGCTTTTCAAATCTTTGTGGAAGCAGAAAGCCTCATCTTTCTCCCACTCTGTCCTATAGGAGAATGTCCTATAGTGAATCAGAATTGACTTGATGGTAGTGGGAATATTCTAAATATTCTCAGTTTTCAAGGGAATCCAGAAATATAAATATGTGAACACTCTTTATTTTTAATTATTGCCAATTAAGTCAAAATTTTAAGGTAGATCTCTGTGAGCCAAACTTTAAGTCTATGATAGCATGTTATGACCTCTGGGCCAAAATGGCCACGGAACAGTGGGGTCATTAGTGAAGGGGAGAAGATAGGAGGAAGCTTCAAATTGTTGGAAAACACTATAGAACGGTCAACCATTCGATATCAAATGGGCAGCAGTCACTCAAGGACAAAGTTCAGAATGTTAAGAAATGCAGGGCAGTAGTCGGGCAAGTGGGGTGACATTGGGGGACCACAGTCACTGAGTTGAAATGAAAGGTATGAGTTGTTGAATGGAAAACTGGCAATCTCTTCAGCAAAACATCACTCAAGTCACAGTAAAGAAGTTAAAAGGAAACTGTGGAAAACAGAATTAAAAGATAATGGAATTTTCCCATAAACTTTTTGAAGCCCCCTCATCATAACAGTTTAAGAGGGGGAAGACTAAGAGAGGAACAAAGAAAGCTAAATAAACAGAACAAATCCCCAGTTCCCCTTGTGAACTCTGAAACGGATTGGACTATAGGACTTGAATCCCAGGTAAAGGACTGATTTATGTGTCTTTTCTTGACCAATTTAAAATAAGAGTCTTAATAGTGATGGATGTACTGTTGGGTTTCCATATGTATCTTTTTTTTTAACAGCTAAAGTTGTCCGTCTTTTACAACAGCAGAATATGAGTTGGCCCTTCAATTTTGTATGAAAGGTATAATGTATCTAAGTAAATAAGAGCTCAAAGAAGGTTTCTAAACATTTTTATTTTTCAGCCCACATGTTTCTGCTCCTCTCAGGCTTCTCTTGTGGGAACAGGAGAGCTAGTGATACATGTGTTAAATAGCTTTAAAAATGTATTTTGATGTGCAGAGGTACTAATGTACTTTTTAGGGATGTTAATAATAAATTAAGATTAGGATGGTTGCCACTGAAAGAAAATAATGAATAGATTAGTGTTAGCAAAATAACGTTAGTTTTGCAAGTGGATAAGCTAAGGATTATCAAAATTGCAAAAAAAAGAAAAATTTTTTTTAAAGCTTTAGACAATATTCTACTCCATGAAATTTTTCTGAATCACATTCAGTTACAGAATGTAATAATACCTTGCACAGTGCCGGATGTATAGTACATGTAAATGTTTTTAAAAAATGTTATTACTTCTTAACAGAGTCATTTACCACAGCAATAATTTCCATAACTCCGATATAAATAGAGCTTTGTAAGAGTATTTTTTGTTTGCTTGTTTCATGTAAAAATGTATTGTTTCTTCTAGAGAAAATAGCAGCGGTAGTAGAGAGAGGAAAGAATGTGTATGTTATCAAAAGTGATTCCAGCTGAAATCATTTGGAGAAGAATGCTTTGACCCTGTCTGTGTCTACAGCCCTTGCTGACAATATACTGTCACTATTTTTGGCCTCATTCTTTTTATCTATTTATTTTGGCTTTACGGAGATTAGGTCTTTAGCCACAGGAATCTTCATGGCCTTCATTTGCCAAATTTTCTTTCCTCCTCTTTGCTCTTGCCTGGCTCAGAGAGACATACTAGGGTGGTGTATGTGTTTCTCTTTCAGATCTAAGCAACGATCTGGGCCGGTGGCATCAGTAGTAAAAGCCTAGACTCAGTGGCTGCTTGGCGCTCAACTCACGGATTTCCAGCCAGCCTAGGGGCCTTTTTACAAGGGTGTACTTATGAACTATTTTAGGTTCTTGGGCTTTGCAAAGCTCGTCTCCCCCTGGGATTTTATTAGGACATAATCAGACTAAAAAAGCTGTGGAAGTTTTGGAGGTAGGAGGATAGGATCCAGAAGGGATTACAGTTAGAAGGGAGTTCCCTTTGATGAATTCCATACATAGTCTGACGACATAGCCTGAGCTGATTCCAGCTAGGAACCAAGGGTGGACTTTCTTCTCTGGTCCTTTGGCCCTTTTGGTTTCCCCAGCAGGGATACTTAGGCAGCAGAAAAGAAACCAGCATTGTGTCGTCTCATTTCTGTCTCATCTAAACTTCAGCTTCTAGGCACCGCACCGTAGCTCTAGGTGGACTCTTGAGTTCTTCTGTCTTTTTATCAGTTTTCTTTGATTCTTCAGCAGGGTTGTTATCATCAACTTTCTCTTCCTTCACTATTTTTGTTTCAATCATTTCCTTCTGCTGACTCTTGTTTGTAAAAGGGAAGGCCTTCACATACCTTTAGGCATAAACATAAAATTAAAGTGAGACACCTCCATGTAGCACACATTAACAATAGACAATGCTTTTGTCTGTGATGGCACATGTTAGCACAGCACACTGGGTACCTAGATTTCTGCGTGATGCTAATTAATACAAGGGGACTTCATAAAGTTCGTGGAAAAGTTCCAATACGTTTTAATTCCACTTTTCTGTGAACTTTTTGAAACCACCTCATACACATATGCTCAAATAAATTAACTCACCCCACCTTAATGGATTCATTAAATAAGGTAAGTTCACAGGCTGATCTCACAACTCTTCCAATGCAGCAAAGAATAAGGCATATAAAATAAAGCATATAATCCCCCCCCCCCCGCCCCCAGGTACCAATTTATTCTTTCTTCTTCCTGATTTTCAAAGGGATTGCCATTGACCCATATCTAAATCTGGATAAAATTCATGTGTTAAAATAGTAGGAGTCCTGGTGTGGCTCTGTGGGTTAATGTGCTGGGCTGCAAAGTCATTTGAAATGCATGGTCGGGGTTCAAGCTCACCAGCAGTTCCTCGGAAACCCTATACAGAGTTGCTATGGGTCCGAAACCGCCTCGACGGCACTTGACAACCACAAGATAGTAGGAAAGATTCGTTGGTAGGGAGAAGAGGTAAGAGGTGGGAGATAATTGCCAGTGTAAGCAAACTGACATTTCCAAATTAACCAAGAAAATGCCAATCACAACCGTGGCAAAATACAAGGTATGGATATAACAAAGATTTCAAGACTAGAATTGTGCCAACAACCCCACCTTTTCACATAGCAAATGGCAAGGCCAGCTGCAGCAGCAAAGAAGAGGAGAGCAAGTATCAGCAGAGCCGTCGGCACACCTGGAGGAAACAGAGACATGGCCTGTTGGTCTTTCACTCACACGTTGTCATGTGCTGCTCTTTCAAAGAGTCACCCTTACAAGTTTTGAAGTAAGACCTAGTGTAAGAGAAAGACCTTCTCTATGACCACACAAGAGCCACTGACTATGCTAGGTCCATATCTGCTCCTTGGCTTCTCCCCTGGAGATCCCTACCCTGCCCCTAAATGGCTGGCCTCCTTTTGTAAATTACAGTGTAACAGATGGAGTTGTTTCCTCTCTGTGAAGCTAATTAAGTGGAAGACCCTCTCTAGGAGAAGAAACTTTCTAGTAGAAAGCACTGAAACTAATGCACTTGAAAGAATGTCTACATATAAACAGACAGTGACTTATAATAATTTAATTGATTTTTAAAGGCTATTATTTAAGGCTTTGAGGCTATTTTATCCTCATGGTATTTAATTTAATCATTAAGGATCTTTATAGCTCCAAAGTTCTTTTTGAAAACTGAATTGTATTAAGGTTTTATTTGTATTTGGCAGATCCTGAGAGTACCATCTAGACATTACATATTGAATATTGTCTGTTATACATAAATATCTAACACAGGTACAGAAAGCTTTTACCTCCAAACTCAGAAACTTCCTTCTTGAACGACACTTGGCTTCCAATATATGAGTCCCTTTCTGTACCCACTGTACTGGTTTCCATGAAAACTTCTGTTACACAAATTAACTTTCGTTTCCGTGGACCAGAAGTAAAGGCCTGAGCAGGAGCAGTAGTAAGAGGAGGACCAGAGGATGGAGGTGCTGTGGGATTTGAACTGTCACTGATATTACTTTCTGTTGTGTGTATTGAAGGTTGAATGTTGAATACGGGATCTTTGGTGGTGATAACTTCAGGAAAGCATGAGTTAGTCCAAATATCTGTTAGGAAAGGGAAAAAATGAAACAAGTATTACAACAATCTCCTACCTGGTTTTTATGCCTCTAGTCTTATCTGCTTCCAATCCCTCTATACTGTAACTGGAAGGATTTTAGCAATACGCACATCTAGAGACTTCAATAACTATTTCATGGCCTATAGGCTTTCCATAATCTGCCCCTGATGAGATCTCCAACCTCATCTGATCAGCCTTTCTCTCAGTGCTCCAGTCTTGAAATCCCTTTAGTTTTTGACATGCTTTGTCTCACACCTGACTCAATGGCACCTCACAGCTCTCGTACCTAAGCCTTTGGCTGTGATGCTTTCTTTACCCATAAGACTTTTTACCCCTCTTTAATTAGCTAACCTTTACTTATGGTTCAGATCTCAGATTGAATCTGAATCATAGGTAAAATCTTCCTCAGGTAGACTTGCTGATTAGATTGGCATCCTCTGCATATGTCTTATACCTCACTTGTCATAGTTTTAATCAAATTCTTCCCCCTGAGTTGTCAACTCCCAGGAAGCAAGGATTTGTACACTCTGCATGACACACAGTACATACTCAGTAAACATTTGATGAGTAATGGAAGAAAGAAACAATGGAAGGAAGAAATAGAAGATAGATACCAAATGCACACACAACACCACCTTAGGAAAAGGATGTGCTAAAAGCAAACTTCTGAGAACTCATAAAAAAAAATTAAATAAAAAATAAGAAAGAAAAAAAATAGGGGGCAGGGTAGCCAGGGGGCATGCAGGGACCTGAGTTTGTTTTCCAATAAGTGGCAGAGAGGAAATGAACATTTATTGAATATTTTACTCTAGTCAACCATAGTGCTTAGTGTTTAATTACTTTTTATTTAACAAAATTTCCAACACTGATTTACAGGAGGAAACTGAAGTTCAGCAAAATCAAGTAATTTGCCCAAGGTCCCTTACCTAGTAAATAGCAGAACCATATAATTTATTATAATACGAAGTTGCATTTATTTTAACTCCCTAGTAATTTGTGGCAGCAGTAGGCTGCATCTGCTGGAATAAGCTATCAAATGCATCATTCCATTAATGCAACTGGTTTTTGAAAATTCAATTATCAATCAAGGTCATGGACACTACTGATAAAACACATTCATTAAGTCAGTATTTGGTTTATGGGGCTATTAGTCCTGTGGATTCGTTTCTTCTTTGAGTCTTTGTTTTCCTTCTTGCTCTTTAGCTCTAGATGAAAAGAGACCAGTCATTGTATCTTAGATGTCTGCTTACATCTTTAAACACTTTGTTTTCCCTTCACAAGATTTTAAGACCCTAAACCCTACTCACCAAATTATGGTGTTGTAGAACATTGTCTGTATGAACTATGTTAAGCCAGCCCAGTAAACCAGTCCTACAAAGTGTTTGGATATGTCTAGGAGGCCTCTACGGAGCTCTGGTAGTGTAGTGGTTACAAATCAGGCTACTAATCTCACGGTCAGCAGTTTGAAACTATCAGCTGTTACACAGGAGAAAGATGAGGTTTTCTGCTCCCCTAAAGATTTACAGCCTCGGAAACCCTGTACAGGGTCGCTATGAGTTGGAACCGATTCCATGGCACATAACAACAACAACAGGATGCCTCTATAACTGTGCCTGCTATGGATTTTATTATATGTATGAATATATATATGTAGCATACTCAACATACATATATGCATGGTGGTGGTTACGTGCCATGGAGTTAGTTCCAATTCATAGCGATCCTGCATAGGGTTTCCACAGCTGTAAATCTTTACGGGAGCAGAATGCCTCATCTTTCTCCCATGGAACAGCTGGTAGTTTCGAAGTGCTGACCTTAAGGTTAGCAGCCCAATTTGTAACCACTACACTACCAGAGCTCTTTTACATATACATATACCTACAAATATGCCTATATTTGTATAGTTATGTGCTTAGTCATACCTTCCTGTACACACACAGCATACATATCTACCTATGTAACCATACACATATTCTTGGTTATTATTACTCTTGTTGCAGAATTGTATACGTTATAATATTTACTGTAATTGTCCCTTTTTCTGGCATACCTGTCAGTATTTTTTTTCATTTACTTTGGTAAAGTTGTGCCAACTTCTCCCATTGATGGGTTACCTTTTCCAGAAATACCAGGCAGTGCTATAGGATAAGCACTGGACTGCTAATTGCAAGGTCATCAGTTCAAACCCACCAGCTGCTCCTTGGAAACTATCCACGGTCACTATGAGTGGTAATCAACTGGATGGCTCTTACCAACAACTACTTTGCAAATGATCCTCCCTCCCCTTCCCAACCTCTCCCATCAAAGAGCATTGCTTTCTATGTATATACCCAAACTTAACTTTTTGTAAAAGAGAGACCATACAATATGCGTCCTTTTGCAATTGACTCACTTCACTCAGCATAATGCCCCCCAGAATCATCCATGTTATAAGATGTTTCATGGACTCATTATTTCTCTTTACAGCGGTGTGGCGCTGTAGCATACGCACTGGACTGCAAAGTTTGAACTGCAAGGTCGGTGGTACAAAGTCACCAGTCACTCTTTGGAAACTCTATATAGGGTTTCTATGAGTCAGAAATGACTTGACAGCACTTAACAACAACAGGATTCTATTATACATGTACCACAATTTGTTTATTAATTCATCCATAGATGGCTTGTCTGGACTTTTGAATACATTTTCCATTCTTGAGCATTTGCTAAAATTCTTCTCTTACAAAATGAACATTTTTGAATATCATTGGGAAAAAAAACATATCGAATACAATATGGTGTATTGAGAACTAGAAATAAAGAAACAAATAAGGCATGGTTTTCTTTTCCAGCACAGAAGTCTTTTGATAAAGGTAGAGGGAGATCTCTGGGCTCCACAGAGGAGATGGCACTTGGGCAGGGTATAGAGGAGTGATGCATCCATTCAATTAATATTTACTCAACACCAATTCTGTGCCAAGTATTGTTTTAGGTGTTAGGGACATAAAGCAAGACAAAGTCCCTGATTTCAAGATGTTTATATGCTACTGTAAGGATAGGGACAAAAAAAAGTAAGCCAACTAGAAATTTTAGAGGATGGTAAATGCTGAGAAGAGATGAAACTTACACAGGGTAAAGACTAAATCCGTAGCAGTGGAAAATGGGACACAGATACTTTCGAAAGGGTGATAAGATAAGGTCCCTTTGGGAGGTGATATTTAAACTGAAGCCTGAATGGTGAAAAGTAGCTAGTCATTGAAGTTCTAGGGCCAAGACATTACAAGTAAAAAGAACAGAAATTTCAAGAGCCTGAAGTAGAATAAACTTAACACATTTGAGGCATAAAAAAAACCCTACAGGAGTAGCCATCCAGCTAGTATGGAAGAGGGAATAGCATATTCCAGTCAATAGGAACAGTATGATCCAAGAATCCAGAAGTTTGAAACTGTAGGATGGAGAAAAATGACAACAAACACAGTCTTCCTGGAGTGTGGGATGTGTATGTGGTTGGGAATGCGAAAGACTACAAGCAGAAGATGATACTGGAAAGAGACTGAGGCCAGATTATCAAGATTCATGATTGTCATGTGAAAGCATTTGGAATGTATTCTGTAAGGGAGAGAACTGTCAACTGAAGTCTATAAACCCATTATAGTATACAAAAGAGAAAGTATGCCTCATGGTTTACATACTGTTCTCAACTAGAAAGTCAACAAAGGCTGGAGAGCAGAGGACTAACATAATTATCAGTGGATGACATGCAGATGGGAAAGAGTATAATTTGGGAGCAATTGCACAGAACTAAGAGAATCTGGAAGTATCTGAACCCTAAATCTTAGATCTTAGAGATCTTCTAGAGGAAGTGATTCTCAGCATAGTATACACATGACAATCATCTGGGAGCTTTTAAAAATATTGATACTCAGGACCCACATGGTAAGCATGGAAGTGTTATTGTTGTTAAGTGCTGTTGAGTTGGTTCAGACTCATAGCAACCCTATATAGGGTTTCCAATGAGCAGCTGGTGAGTTTTGAACCCCCAACCTTGTGGTTCAAACTGATCTTGCAGCCCAGTGCTTTATCCCACAGCACCACACCAGTACATGGGAGTAGCATGGCACACTATAATTAGCTCAAGATTTAAATCCTATCTTTGTCCCTTATTGACTGTGACTATGGACTAAGTTATACTCCATTATATCTCTAGGAAAGTAGAATTGATACATTGTTTCATTGACCCACTGCCATCAATATTTAATTTTAATTTAATCATTTTAATTATCAATATTTAATTGGGAGCAAATATTCCCCATATTAAAGAAGAGCGATGACTAAAAAACAAGGCAAATAGAAAAAAATCAAATTGTCAAGTTGAAAAGGACAATATAAACTCTTAATTTAAAAAACATACTTCTTAGCTGTCCATTAGGGAAAACTGAGAAACATTGAAAGCTCCAGTAGTAATGAGAGTGATGAGGTTGAGGATCCAACTCTGGTTTAGAATTTTCATTCTCCATGAAAAAGAATCAAGGCCCCTGGGAGAAACTCCACAGTCCCAGCTGTGGAATCAGCCATTTCTCCCAGGGGCCTTGATTCTTTTTTGTGGAGAATGAATAGCAGAGAAACACTGTGAAAAGCACTATGAATAACTAAAGAACAGCAGAGAAACACTGTCAGATATAGTGCCAGAAAACTAGCCCCTCAGGTTGGAAGGCACTCAAATGAGACTGGGGAAGAGCTGCCTCCTCAAAGTAGAGTTGACCTGATGATGTGAATGGAGTAAAGCCCATGGGAGAAAAGCCCACAAGTACCTTCATTTACTGATGGTGCACAACTCAAAATAAAGAGAAACAGCTGTAAACAGCCATTGAAAATCAGAACATGGAATATATGAAGTATGAATCTGGAAAAATTGGAAGTTGTCAAAAATGAAATGGAATGCATAAACATTGATATCTTAGGAATTAGTGAGCTGAAATGGACTGGTATTGGTCATTTTGAATCTGATAA